TAACATTTCCAACACTTTAGGAAACAATAGCTCTAAGCAACAATCATCTACAAAAGTAGAAACATTAGGTGAAAGTTTAATGACAAACACATTAATCAGAAAGACCTCATTAATTGATCTTAGTGTAACTAAAATCTAACATGAATAAAGAGTCTTAAGAGACTTATGGCCAAATGCAGTACATAAATCTTTTTAGATTCTGCCTTCAATAAACCAATTATATAAAGACATTCTAAGACTGACTGAAAAAAGCTGAGAGTGTAGAATCCCTGCAATTTCACTTGTCTTGATAATGGAATTCCAAATTTCTGTTAGAAGAGCCTATTTATTAAATTTTCATACTACAATGAGTGTAGATTAAATAATAGAACATCAGTAGCTGTTTAACAATGGTAGGCAGAAAAAAATTGGGGTTAGGATAATAAAGATAAAAAGAAGTCCCACAAAATACAGGTAATTGTTGATGTGGAATGGTAAGCAAGTGGTGTTCATACTCCTCTATTTGGTTTTGTTTGAAACTTTACAATTAAAAAGCAATAAACTGTAATACAAAGAGCATGTAAAATAGAATTATTAAGCTCACTTTACTTATGAGAAAGGTAACACTCGTGTAAGTGACGTTAACTTACCCAGATTAGAGTGAAAACTAACAAGAGCACAAATTCAAACCTTGGTTTTTTTGACACTGAGTTCAAGATTGTTTCTATCCCACTGAAGCTGGCTTTCCCAGACACAAACAAATAATCAAACACACACACACACACACACACACACACACACACACACACACACACACACATACAATCTAGCCATGCTGAAGACACAGAGAAGTTTTACATACATCAGCCTCAGGGAACCTCGGGGGACACCGCAGAATCCCACACTTATCCTTTAATCTTCAACGAAATTGACAGAGCAGGCCAAGAATTTTCCATTTAATTATAAATCCTCTTTCTGGTAGCTATGGCTTCTATTTGTTTCCACTGACTTTGCCTTGGCAGAGCAACTCTGAGTACTCCTGTGCCGAACATGTGGAAAGAACTAATCCCCTTTGGTTCCTGATGTCTCTTTCAGGATTGAAAAGGAGGTCCCAAACCACAATTAAACGCCCAAAGCAAACAAAACACCCTTTCAGGCAAAAAAAAAAAAATAGTAATACATTGGGAAGCTAAGAGGAGGATGGGCAGGCCAAGATTGACTCCACACCTATTTTGACATCCTAGGCTAAGACTGTTCCTACATTCATGAATGGCTCAAAAAGGAATAACTCTTCATGACACATGAAAAGAATATGAAGTTCCAGTTCAGTATTCATACATGAAGTTGCACTCCAACACACCCATGCCACATCTGTATATGACCCCTGCAGCTTTGACCCTACAAACAGCAGCACTGGGTGACTGTGACAGAGACAGAATATAGAAAGCAAAGCCTGAAATATTTACTGTCTGGTGCTTCCCAGGAAAGCACCAAATCCCTGAGTTAGAGAATGAATGACAGAGAATGGGAGTTGAGCCATGGTAAATTAGAGACCAGTGAAGAAATAAATCTGGTTTAGACTGAGTTTCTTTCTCTTATTCGATCTTGGAGCTCATATGGTAAATTTACTTTCTTTTTCTTCTCTTTTTTGTATGGAATGCATTGTGTTCATTAACAAATAAGAAGAGACATTTTCAGCCTGGAAATGAATCATTCTTTGGAAAACTCCCCATTGTGTTCACCCAATCCTTCATAAGCTGATCATCACTTGGTCCTTGTATGATGCATCCTAAAATATACTGTACTTTTGTGTGTACCTTTGTGTGTGGGGGGAGGGGGGGGACATGCACCATGCTGCTCCTAGAACTTGAAACTTGAACTCCAGGGATTGAGCTGTCTCTCAGCTTTCACACTCAAGGCTAACGTTCTACCACTTGAGCCACATCTCCATTTCTAGGGCTGGTTTTGAACCTCCATTCTCAGATCTCAGCCTTCTAAGATACTGGGTTACAGACATGAGCCACCAGCATCAGGCTTCTCTTATTCTTAATACTAAAGAATTTTTCTTATTCTCTACTAAAAGATTCGCAACATTTTTTTCCTCTTAAAAATCTCACCACTTTTTCCCTCACTGGTTAAACAGATTACATAAAACCTTAGCCCCAGTTTACATACTTGTTAACACAGGGTTAATAAACCCAGAAGTCTTTAAAGTATATTTTTAATGCCTAGTTGCAGAAGGACCATAAATTACAATATTGTTCTGCCTCTTTATTTTCTCACTAACCACAGAAGACAAGCAGTCCATGCAGAGCATGGAGATCAGGCCTATCTGGTTACAAAGTTTTACATCTAGATACTGTATCCTTGTAAAATTACATTCCACATCTCATTCTGGTTCAGAAAAACCTTTGTGCCCAGAGCTCCTGATTTGTAGGAAACAAAACCCAAGGGGAGCACAAGGCAGCAAAGTCCAAATCACCATATGGCAGTACGATCCTGGGGAAAATCTCTGTTAGCATTTTATTTCAGCCAGAAGTAGATTAGGCAGATAAAATTTTCAAAATAAGGCACAAATCAGTTAATTAAAGTGAAGAAAGACTTTATTTGTTTTAAGCTAGAATGGATTGAAGACAGCTTACACATGGTGGCGTTGAGCCAAGAGGAGGTATTTCCTACATCAGGAGTTCTTCCAATAGGGTTGTGTCCCCT